CGGAAAAATTTATATCCTAAATGCGAATAATCTTGGTGGATACAAGCTAGGACCTGGACAAACGGATAATATCTTGCAAACAATCGTCACGAGTGCTGCCGTCTTTGGTGCATGCGGCTCTTATCCTCTCGAGGGTGGTTTTATCTACTGCACTCCAGTCGGGTTGGCAACATCAGTCTATCAACTCACATTCACATCTAGCGGTCTTCCCCAATTTTCCAAAGTTGGTCAAACGAATGAGGTCTCTGCAGGTCGTGTTGGAGTTGGAATACCAACTGTCACTAGCTTCAATAACCAAATCGGTACAGCAATTCTATGGATGACAGACCCTGATGCTGGCCTCCGTGCATGGTATGCTGTACCCCAGAATGGTGTTTTACAAACAATCAAGCTATCTCAAATAGGAGGCGCAAACAAATTCCAACGTCCAGCTTTCGGAAATGGTCGAGTATATACAACAGATTCAAACGGCGTTCTTTATTGTCTCGGAGCTCCTGTTAATCTTCCCTGTGAGTATCACTATTTTCTTGAACAATTCTTCTGTTTGATTCTTCCAAATGAAACAGCAATTTATGCTAATCTGTTGTTAGTAAACTGTTCCTCTCCAATTGATTTCGGCATCATTGCGCTTGGAGATAAGTCTTTCCAGACTGTCAATTGTACAACAAATATTGCGATTACTTCAATAAACGGTGCGACTGTTGGAACCGGGTACTTCTCCGTTGATAATTCAACATTGCCAACAGGTCCATTGAAAGCGGGGGCCACATTTACATTTCCCGTCACCTGGGACTTGACAAATGTTCAAATTGGAGCAACGCCGAATACATCTTTTGGAAATGTATCTCCTGGAATAAAAAGCACACCTTTGACAATTCTAACGACAAATGCTGTCGCCGGCTTTGCTACTCTTTATCCAATAAGTTTGACTGGTACAGAGGTCTCCTCAAAGCCCTTCCTAGCTATTGCTCCGACTACGGTGGATTATGGCGGAATTATTATCACAGATGAAAGTGATATAAATTCCCAATCGGCTATCTTTACGATATCAAATAAAGGGTTGATGGCGATGACAATCCTGGGGTATGCATATACTGCGGATGACTTAGATGATAGTCCGATATTCATCAACAGCACCGTGATAAATGGGACATGGGATTTGGGGTTTGGTTATTTCAGTGCAGTAGGTCTTCCGGAAATTGGAAGTCAAATTGCTCCTAGCTCGCAAATATCTATCCAATCTTCCTTTGAACCAACCAATGGAACCAGATCATATAATTCTTATTGGCAAGTGTGGTCCGATGGAGGTACGGTCAACATTATTCTTGAGGGTATTGCCTCAACGGCTCCAATAACCAATTTTTCAATTAGCAATGGCGAAGGTGGATGGCTTCCTCAAGCCAATCTTCTTATGGACTTTGGCAAAGTAGCACCTGGAAGTTCATCTTCCCAGCAAATACGGATTTGTAATGTTGGAGGCTCATCACTAGAGATTAGTAAGAGCAAGCCACCAAATGGCGTCTTTCACATTAGTGACCCAACGGAATTGCACGAATCACAACAGATAGCTGTCAATGATTGTGCATATGGAACCGTTATTTTCTCAGCAAATGTGGAACAATACAATCAGCCAGACTTCGTGCTCAACAATACTTGGACTTTGAATACAGATGATGTCAACTGGGGAGTTCACGTTGTCGAAATCACTGGAATCGTCATCTCGAAGAAGGTTGGCCCAGTAAATTCTACAACCGGGAAAACAATCTACAATTATCTCGGATGCTTTCGGGAATCTAACATTGGACCACGTCTGTTACCTAATCAAGGGTATACGCCCAACGTCACTGGAAACAGCAATAATATGTGCCAAGAAGCATGTTATGGAATCGCACAATACAGCTTTGCTGGTACAGAATATACTAGCCAATGTTGGTGTGGCAAGTAAGTTTCCAAGATTCACTATTCTCTTTGGTTTTACTGCCTACATTTGTTCCTCGATTTCACCCTTCATGTTCGTATTTCATTCCATGTGCTATTTCTGGTTCTTCATGCAACATTCACATTCCACTTGCTTCATTTGCTTCGTTTTCCTTCGAAATCTGCCCTTTATGCGATCATAAGGTCGAGGCTTTTCGTGTTCTGTCAAATCCCCTCAAGTAATATCTGCAGGTTCTAAGTAGCACCTGGGCATTATTTGATTTATCCCCGAGGATCGAGATTGGGTTTAGCGTATCCACAAGCGAGAACGCTAGATTCAATCCTGGCCCTTTATGGGATTACGTACGAGAGATCCCCTCGGATCAAATACTGGAGGATCTCCCAAAGATTTTCAACATCCATATTGTTCTTGTATGCAATACTGACTCCTCAAACTTATAGTAATCCACCACCTCTAGCTTCACAAGATCCTACTAATGCACTGTGTAATTTTGCTTGCCCTGGTGACCCGACCGATGGATGTGGAGGAACTGGCTATATCTCCATTTTCTATAACCCTACAGAATATGTGGCTGGATCTGATCCAGCATTGTATGGTCCCAAGACAGTCAATAGTGTTGGTAATTATAATTACTTAGGATGTTATAGTGAAGCGACAAATGATCGTGCTTTGGGTGGTTTCAGCCCTCAAGCACCATCTACAGGATTTACAATCGAATTATGTGCAACTGCTTGCAAAGGATTTACATACTTTGGTATGGAGTATGCTAACGAATGCTATTGTGGGAAGTGAGTATATCCTCGTTTGACTCCAAAATTTCCACCTCGTAATGCTGACTCCGCGAACTTATAGTGCATTAGGTGTCGGCTCGGTCAATCAGACTAGTGATACTCCAAGCATTAATGGATGTTCCATGCTTTGTAAGGGTAATGCCAAAGAATATTGCGGTGGACCAGGAAAACTTGATGTATATATGCTTAACACAGCAACTTCTTCGTCGCCATCTATGATCTCGACAAGTACAACTGCGTCTACTACCAGCTCAAGCGGTACTTCTTCAATTTCTACGACGGAGAATACTACATCAACTTCCATATCAACTTTGTCGTCCTCAATATCCCCAACAACGTCAACACCCTCAACAATATCAACAACCTCGGTATTTCCTACGCCCACAGGGCCCATCACGGTAACAAATCTTACCGGCTATAACTATCTAGGATGCTACAGTGAAGCAACCACAGGTCGTGCCCTCTCTGGTCTACGACCCGCGCCTCCTATCGGAGGATTCACAATAGAGTCTTGTCAATCGAGCTGCTCGGCTTTTGAATATTTCGGAATGGAGTATTCTAATGAGTTAGCCTGATCCAACCTCCACTCACTGCATTGTCGCAACTAACTTTCTTTAGATGCTATTGCGGTGCAACCATAAATGCCGGCTCAGTTCTTCAAGAAAGCATCATCCCGAGTGTTAATGGATGTGATATGTTGTGCGCTGGAAATTCTGGAGAATATTGTGGAGGTTACGTGTCCAAATTTTCCATCCCATTACCTTCCTACAGAGATACATCTACTAATACATAACAATAGGTGGTTCCAGACTCAACATGTACCAGTTTAATGGCACTATCTCGGCACCATCAGGACCAATCACAGTCATGAATTTAACGGGCTGGAATTATTTAGGATGCTATAATGAATCTACAAAAGGTCGTGCTTTGAGTGGTTTAGAGAATCCAATTCCGGGGATGAATACTAGTGTGGAGGCTTGTTCTATGGCCTGTGGTGGGTGGACTTATTTTGGTGTTGAGTATGGTGAGTACATTTCATGTTATCTAGGTTACAAGATAGAAAGAGATGGAAAAGTGATAGTATGACTGGGGTTAAAATTAGTGCTAATGATGACTGCGAACTTTAGGAGATGAATGCTACTGCGGATCAAACATAAATGCAGGCGCAACACTCCAATCAGGCCTATCACCGAGCATGACAGGGTGTAATATGGTTTGTGCTGGCAATAGGACGGAAGTATGTGGAGGGAGTTTGAGGTTAAATTTATATCAGGTCATGTGAGGGAGGAAGCTATGGTTAGAGAAGAGCGTTAGAGGTATGTTCATCCATAACTGGACATCTAGCTGGGCGCTTTTGCTTATAATTGGCCTTAAGCTTCCGTCTCTGACGAAAGATTACTGCCAGAATGAGGACATGAGAGATGGTGGGAATGGAAGGAAGTGGAAACACAGGAAATTGTTGCTTTTAGACAGTATTTCATCATTGTGGTGGCTTCAAGTGAGCTTCTCAGCAAAATGAGCTTCATATTTTCTTGAGTTAGAATGGATTTATCAAAATTGCTAATCTGAAAGGAAAATGATGATTTGCGGCGCACAATGGATGATTTTGGGGAGGTAATCGTTATGTCCAGAAGTTTGATAATGAAGAGGAAAATCGTGCCGGTTGAGAGGTTTCGTGTAAGGAATACATAGGAAGATGATATGGGTGATCATCTGATGTATGACGGAGGAGGGAAAATGTGTAGAGTAGTGATAAATGGGGGTTTGGCGATGAAAGAGATAGGAATGCTACAATAATCGGCATATTTAGTTGGTTAATAAAGAGTATCAGTAGCACTGAGGGCCTCGGGAATTTATGTTTATCTCTTCGTTGTTTCAAATAAGATGACAGTCATTAGGACTATATGATTTGCGTGGATACTCATCTGAATATTTAAAGTTTAGCTCTTTTAATACCTTAGATTCTGTCTCAGAGGTCGAGATGTTGAATTTTGGGATTGTAGCTTGGATGATAGTATAATCTGGGTCCTCATAATCTGAAGGATAACAGAACAGCAGGAATAGTTATGTTTGTGTAGAGTTTGGGGCTGGTATTTATACTCCTGGCAAACTTTTAACTTCTCAATTATCGGAAAATAGAGAACGATCTGCTAACTTCTATGTATTACATATAGAACGTGTATTCTTCATTTAGCGACTATATCTCCTCATTTCTAATGTCAAAGCCCATATCTCCCAGCTCTCTCAAAGTCAACGCCAGCCTGCAAATCTCAAGTCCTTGTTTTCTCCGGTGATCCATTATCAACAAACTTGACGGTAAAGCGGAGAAAGCTTGCTGGATGAGAATCTGGTAATGTGGTAAGAGCAGTATCGACCCTTGATTCTGGTTAGTTTCGGTCAATAATCCACTGTCGTCTCGGAAAATTATCTGTAGCCACGGAAGTCCTTCGCACGATTAGAGAGTACAGTAGCGGTCGCCAGGATCGAGAACTTGGTTTTAACTAGGCGACGGTTTTATGTGATGTGAGCCATGGTGTCACGATTCTTTGAAATATGCGCTTCGTCTACGGTGATGTGATTGAATAAACCTTCAATAATGAGCGACAGCGAGATTGCGTTGATTATTTAACTATGGAACTTATTAGTGGTTGGTAGAGGACTGGCATATTGGAATCCGCGAGAAACTTACCCGTGTTCAGAATCCGACGATTTGATAATCATACCCAACCCTGTGGCATCGGCTAACAAACAAGTTTTCACGTTAGGGTTATCCAGTATCCTTATCATCTGTCTCATTCCGGTCACTTGCTAGCTTTTGCACCGGAAGGTTGGAATGTTGGAAGGAAAGCGAGGATATTAAGGATTGAAGCTAAAGAATTTATAATCGCTGATGTAGCTGTGTGGTTGGTATTCTGCAATATCCAGAAAACTTTCCATCTTGGCCATTTTTGCCATGGTAGCGACTGATGCGGCCACAAAAGACTTGGAAGCGTTTAAATTGAAGAGAGCTTCGAATCTCCCTCTCTCGAAAGACGCTCTCGTCGTTCATAACTTCGGCATCAGTACCCACATCTCTTTCTGCAACTTTGACGAGCTAAGAATTTGTCCTTGAAATTTCTCAAAACTACTTGGATGTTGAGGTATTGTCCACACTGAGTGTTCAAGATCGTGGTTCTTATTCCGAGGTGCTTTCAAAATCGTTATTTGCTGTATAAATTTGCATACATCAGGCAATTTCAATACCACGCGTGGGGCAGACGTCATCTCACCTGCTGGTGTTCGCGAGGAACTACCAGAAGCGGCAGATCTTTGGTTTAAAGAAAATGATGGAGGAGGACGTCGATCAACATTTATAGCTGTCTGTTCCGACAATTGATCCAGGCTTCCCATGTTAATACCAAACGAACTCATGCGTGGTGATCGAGGAGATGAATGCTGTATTACCTTCTGCAACTCTTTGGGAGTGGACTTATTATCTGGTGTGTCTCCGAACACACTCCCAGATGGATGCCGATTAGTGACTCCCTTCACGCTAGGATTTTCGACACCAGTGCTTTTTCTCTTCGAGGCTTTGATTTTTGATGGTTTTCATCCGCGGTAGCTCCAACAACACACATCCAGTGTCTGACCTGCTTCTCTTTCTCACTCATCTACCTATTAGTGGATAGACCGTTGCGTCTAGTCGAATTAAAGATATACAGCCGATACAAGCATAAGACATAGTGATCAGCATCCTGCCAACCCTTCATATGCGGATCTGGATCAGAGTATTTGCCGTCACCGTATGCCCGTCCTTCGATGATCATCTTTTGGACTGTTACAATAGAGGAAACTTTGGGATTAGGTGCTGTTAAAGTGCGCGGGTGGATAGCACTCTTATATAATAAGTCGAAATGGAGGCAGAAGTCATGGGATTGCAGAAAATCGCTAATGGCGTCTGCATTAGGAAGTCCCAGGTCAGGAGGCCATCTTTCTAAAGTTCTGAGAGGCATTGTGATCGATATAAACACCTGCCGACTTGTTGGTAGATGGACTATCTTCACTGGATAAGAGCATGTCTGCCAATGTCTTTGGCTTCTTGGCGTCTGCTGCAGCACTTCTAGCACCCGCTGATAATGCCATGCTTGTAGTGCTGCCTGTCTCGAGTTTCGAGCAAAAGTGGTCTAGCTGTCGATCATAGAAGAGATCGAAAAATCGAAAACTGATAAATTGGAAAGGTCAGTTATGCTTCTGAAAAAAGAATTTTTCAGGTGATTACCTTGGAAAGAGAAATTGTGATTGAGAAAGATACTCCGGTAGAAGAAATCGAAGAGTTTGAGGTGTTTGGAGGTTTGTATTGATGACGGTGGCGGTTATGGTGGAGATTTTTGTTGTTGTTGTCGTCGTCGTCGTTGAGGGTTAAAGGATGGATGGAGGAAATTGAAGATTGAAAGCGTGAAAAAACAGTAAAGCGTGCTAGTCGATCCAAAATTGAGATTGACGCTGAGTTCAAAAAGAATTTTTGATTCGTCAGACGATTTCATTCCAAGTGAGTCTTGTTTTCAGTGATGACCAATTTTGTTTTCACCGATATGCAGTCTTGGATTCCATGAAAAGGTTGTTGGGAAATTGATGAATAAGAAGTTAACACAAAATTATATAAAATCTGGCAGAATTTTTTGGGAAACACCGATGAAGGCTGAAGAAGATGATTTGAGGGAAAGTGATGCAGCCGCATGGTCTGCATCCCGCGCAGACTCTTCACCTCGAACACCTTGTAAGCGACCACGGCCTTATTACAGTTATATGGAGGATGAAGACGAAGACAAGCTCGATGTTCCGCTCAAGAATGAAGCTTCCGATTCAGGAGAATTCCCCCTGGCAAATGATATTTGCAGCTCTTCAAAACGTCAAAAATCTCTACAAAATGACCTTCCAATTCCTCGTGGCCAGTTCAATCTCTCTAGACCACGAGTGAATGAACGTTCTGTCGAATTTCCTTCCAGCAATAGAAGTGATTACGAAGAATCAGAAGAACGTGGATCCAGCGACAATGAGAATGATGAAGACAGCTTGTTTGTAGCTGCGTAAGTCCCACCATCTCGAAACGAGGCAAAGGTAACGAAGAATTTTCGTCAAAGACCATCCAGATGCGCTGAAGAATGGTGGAGTCGCCCAGAAAATACGAACACCAAATTGACCAAGTCGCAAAGTCGCCGGGCCTTTGCAAAAGATGGAGCTGAAGACAAATTACAAAGCATGATGAATCACGATCCTCTTGCAGGGAAGGGTTCCGAGCGTACTGGAGCACCAACTCAATTTCTTGATGTATCCAACAAGAGTGAATGGTTCAAGTTATTATCCAACCTTAATCTACCCGGAGATTGTCGAGGAGATCCAAGTTCATTGAAAGTTGCGAGTGAGAGCTTTGGACTTGGCAAGATCAAGCTTATACATCTTGAGAATGACAAGAGTCTTCACAAAACAACATGGCTGCTTAAAGGCATGAAAACTCGTGAGTGGCACAAAATTTCTGTTTCATTGATGTTCACTAACTTCAGAGTGCAGCATTATGGCATCACCAGCTCATCAGTGTTCACTGGATGATGGGTCGGGAATTTTCCAGGGAGGGACCCAAAGGGGAAATTAATGCAGATGCCATGGGACTGGGCAAAACCGTCGAAATGCTAGCGGTACGTTTAAGCTATCAATACATACTCGTCAAACGCTAAGGTTCATTGCAAGGCAATCGTCGCAAATCCGAGACCTAAAGGTGCTATTAAAAAGAAGATTGGACCTACACTGATCATTTGTCCTGCTTGCATTGTGAGTCTTGGTTCACGCTGCATGAAAGTTTTGACATGTTCTAACTCGGATCAGATCGACCAATGGCAATTCGAGATCGAGAAACATTTGGAGGAAGACAATTACCAAAATGTTGTTATTTATAAAGGAGGCGCAGGTCCCACAAAGGCGAACTTGATGGGTGCAGATATTGTGCTCGCTTCTTATAGCCAGGCCAGAATCAGTTGCCCTTGGCCGCCAGAAACTATTTTGCGAAGACTGAGAAAAGAAGCCACGAGTAAGGGTAATAAAGCACCGATGAATCCAAAAGCGGTTGAAGACTGGATGATAGACATCGCGAAGAGCAAGGTGGACTTCTGCATAAAATTTCCTGGTATCGAGTAAGTCCATGTGCCAGACTATTCTTTTATTACATTGGTTAACATAGCCTACAGGTGGTTCTTGATGAAGCAGTATGTACTCCATAATCACTTTGAACAATAGTCATTACGCAGCTAACATACGCAGCAAAACATCAAAAATGAGGCTGTTCGCACGAGTCATGCAGCGAATGCTTTATTAGGTCAAAATAGATGGGCCATGAGCGGAGTAAGATACTCCTCCTTCGACCCAACAGCTTCTATCATACTAATGTTATAGACACCAATGATGAACCGACGAGAAGGTGATATTCTTCCTTCTATCTCTAAACTCCAATGACTGATTTGAGAGTAGAATTGTACCCCTACTTTAGGTTCCTAAAAGATCCAGCAATCACAAACCTCTCCATGCAAGTCAAATCGCTCGGTGGTAGACATTATGACACTAGAACTAACAAACTATACAGGTTCACGCGCGAGTTCTGTGAAGAAAACAATGTTTGTGATTATCCTTTGTTTTTATTTACCTTCTATTCAATATGATAGAAAAGATGTGACGAGCGAATTGATAAGGTTCTAGGCTGCATCATCCTCAGGTGATTAAGAGTTACTCAGGGAGTCCGTTAGACCTAGACATTGTTCATGACTAATCTGACAATAGACGAACAATGACCGATAGAATACTTGGGAGAGAAGTTGTGGAAATTCCTCCTTTCACGAAGAAGAATAACCTGATAATGTTTAATCAGGCAACTGAAATACTTTATCGAGCAGTTGAGCAGCGATTCCGCGACCTCGTGAAAGAAGCATTCCAGAATGACGATCCGCGGAAAAAGATGCAATATTCCATTGTTGCTGTACTTCGACTCCGACAGTAAGCTTTGAATTGTACTCTTGAAGCTTTTCACTAACCTGGCATGAAGATTTACTGCACATCCTCTGATCATTGAGTCGCAAATGAAGGTTATTCATCCTGTGGTTGTTATTGACACAAAAGATGTTCCAAGCTCATACTGTATAGATCATGTTCGATATCAAGGAGCTCAAGGAGATCCAAAAGCAAGTGAATGGCGCAGACCCCCAGTTACACTATCGTAAGTATATCCCTCATATACCTTTCTTTTCTTGTCTAAGGATTCCTAGGAATTGATCTGTGGATCAGAGATCTGGAGTGTGGGCGCGAGAATCCCAGATCTTTCAAGTTTCAAGATGCAGATGCATGTGGTATTTGCGATGAAGTAGAAATTGAGGATGCGCAGCAAGTTCGTACTTGCAAGAATCGTCATATCTTCTGCAGATCGTGCATTAATCATTATTGTACTACTCAAGCTGCCACAGAACAGGTTGATGTAAGTTTAATTCGAGAATGATTCCCACTCTTCACATTACTAATCATGATTAGGATGGTAAAATGAAATGCCCAGCAGCTTTTTGCGAAGGAACATTCGAATACGACCGTCTCAAAAATGTCAACAGTACCCCAAAAGAAAGATCATCTAAGCAGAAAAAGGGAAGAGACGTATTGAGATATGTCCCTCCTCTAGGAGCTCGATCAGAATGGTTAGAAGATGTCGATGCTGGAAGATTTGGTCTACCACAAAGTACAAAATTAGCAGAAATTCGAGAACTGCTTGTGGAGTGGAGAAGAGAAGCACAATCAGATAAAACCATTATCTTTGTTCAGTGGAAGGCGATGATCCTTCTCATTGGCATGATGCTCGAGGAAGAGGACTTTAATTTTGTGTATTACACCGGTGATATGAGCAAGAGAAAGCGTGCAGCTGCTATGGATTTATTCAAGAACATGAAAGAAGTTACCGTTATGATCATGGGCTTACAGGTTGGAGGTGTTGGGCTTAATATAACCTGTGCTAACAGAGCAATTATGGTTGACCTGTGGTGGAACCAGACAATAGAAATGCGGGCAAATGCTCGAATCTATCGAATCGGGCAACTAAATGAAACTCACTTTCGGAGAGGGGTCGTGAGGCGCACCGTTGACATACGTCTTGCGTTGATGCAAATGAGAAAGAATGCTTTGATTGCAGGAACTCGCAAGGCTCTTGGCGATCATGGTCAAATGTCAGCTTTGGGTCGTGTCATTGAGGATGAGAATGGCAATCCTATTGACATCGTTGCGGATTACAGAGCCCTCGATAGAGCGGAAGTTCTGGCTTGACTCAAACCATGCGATTCTGATATGACAGGACCAGGTGTATATCATAGTTCAGGTCAAGAAGAGGACGCAGGAGAGGGCGGTGCTAATGAGCCGATGGAAACTGAAAAGGCAGGCCCGGAGATCGACGCGTACCCAGAGGCAAACGCATTTGAAACAGACTTCAACGGCGAGGCTTTACAAAAAGAATTTAGAAGAACAAACGATATTGCTGACAACGATTATGAATTTCCGCAACTCTGATGTGGACGCAATCCTTGCTTTTGTTCGAACAACCATCGCCTGGCAGTTTTGCAAAGACGTCGACTACAACTTTTTCCTCGATGACATTCTCATAATGATCACGAGATTACTCTTTGATTCATCGGTGAGCACATGGAGGATCCAGACCTCCAGCGAAACACCAATTCCATGTCATCCTCGCAGTATCCGACTGAATCCGTCTTTTCGTCCTCAGTAGTTTTTGTCATCAGCATTTCCGTCAACTATACCTGAGGATTTCGAATTCCAGATGTAGTTGGCGCCTATCGACACATTTCTGCAGAGATTTTTAGTCCGCCCGGGAGAACTATCGAAGAAAATTGCAATTTCAACGTCTTCAAAGGCTCCCTCCCCACCAAAAGTTTTATCCCCGTGCTTTCATCAATATTCACCTCGCGTCACCAAGTTCTAAGATCCACCTCCATCGCATTTTCAATTCGACATTTTTGCTGTCATTAGCAACTGTCTTTGCTCCTTGCTCTGAACTGCTGCTATGATCAACAAAATTTATCGACCTTCGCTAGAAACCTTTGCTGTCATCCCCGAAATTTGATATTCCGCATCTAGAATATCTCCTATCCTTAACGACACACGGCGACTGCTCAGCTGGGACGAATGCAAGGATGGAAATCTAGAATTCCCCTTCCACAAAAATATCACAAATGGCACCATTTCATTAGCACGACCCCAGTTATCTTTTCTCAAAGCGAATTTAATCTTGATAAATTTTTCTTTAGACGAGAATAAGGACGCAAGCGAAAAATAGTTAGTTCCATACATGTCTTACCATTCTCGGGATGTGAGAAAAAAATGATCATCAGTTTTTAAATAATGGGGCAAATTATACTGCGTGATATATGTGACTTCGATAGTGAAGTGAAAATGTAAGAGTTCTAGATCCTCCTCACTGTACACGTAATTGTGACGATTGCATTATTTAGAATATTAAGGTAAAAAGCTAAAAGAGCTTTTAAAAAAAAAGTGGTAATATACAGAATTGTAAATTATATAAGTCCCTAAATGATTTATTAATAAAATAGGATTATTATATTACTTTTTTTTTTTTGAAAAGTTTGTTTTTGAGCGTATAATAGTAGTATTTTAAATATGGTTCTATAATTTAGTTATATTATAATCTATATTTTCTATTATTTTTAATATTTGATTTATAGTTTTAATATTTTTTATAATTTAATTGGTAGTGTTGTTGATTGTTTTATAGAAGTATGTATTTTATAGTTTTATTGTTTTTATAAGAAAAACTTTGAAATTAATAGGAAAGGGTTTTGAAAGTTGTTAAAAAATAAAATGAGTGAAAAAAAGAAAATCTGTTTGAGATACAGTTTTTGTTGATGGTGCTGATAGAACGATAGAAGTGTTAGTAAAGTATGAATTGATTTGATAGATTAATTAAATAAGCTGTTTTGTTATAATATTGATTATATAAATATATTAATGTTTTAAATTAATTAAATTCTATAGTTTGTAACGTAACGTATGGGGAACTCGGACATATGGGGAACTCGGACACTTTTAGCCCATCACCAACTTGAAAACCGCAATAACTTTTATTATGCATACCCAATCACCTTCTACATCTGCTCAAATTGAAGAGAAGCTTCAAAAGGCTATAATTTCACTTCAATTGAAAGAATTTAAATCAATTAGAAAGGCTGCAGAGCATTTTGAAGTCCCTAAGTCTACCCTAGCTGATAGGCTGGCTGGGAAGAAAACACGTTCCCAAACCCACGAAATGGCTCAAATTCTTTCAAACGCAGAAGAAAATACTCTTGTACGATGGATTTCACGACTTAACATCACTGGATTCCCTGCTACACCTATGTTGGTGAAGGAAATGGCCGACGAAATTCGTCTTCGACGCGTTCGGGTCGCATCATCTCGAAATCCTACCTCGACAGAAATTCCACCTATAGGCCACGAATGGATCTATAGATTCCAAAAACGACATCCAGAACTTAAAACATACTATTCATGTCAATTAGAGTCTAATCGGACTAAAGAAGCAACTCCGGAGAATATTCAGGCTTGGTTTGACACGTTTCGCACGCGTCTCATTAAGCGAAAGTATGAATTAGATGATATGTATAATATGGATGAAACCGGATTTGGAGTTGGAAGTACTCAAAGTACGCGCATTATAGTCGATTCTACTCAGAAATCGAATTGGAAAGTTACAGCTGGCAAGCAAGAATGGATAACTGCATTTGAATGTGTCAATGCAGCTGGAAATGCTCTATCACCTATGGTCATTTTCAAGGCTCAGAATACGAATTCTGCATGGATTCCAAAGGACACACCTCAAAGCTGGCAGTTCTCTACTAGTACAAATGGATGGACCTCAAATAGCCATGGATTAGAATGGTTAAAAAGGGTTTTCGAACCAGAATCCAAGAAAGTGTCAGGTGACCGACCTCGACTTTTGATCATGGATGGCCATTCAAGCCATATTACAGATAGCTTTATTGCTTTCTGTATAGATAATGATATTGATTTACTTATATTACCTCCTCATTGCTCTCACTTGCTTCAGCCACTTGATATTGCGGTGTATGGGCCAATGAAACGATATCATGCTTTAGAGGTCGATCGATATTCTCGAGCTGGTGTAAAGCGAATCCAAAGAGCTGAATGGGTAGAACTCTTTCAAAATATTAGAAAAAAAGCATTGAATTCTTCTAATATTAAAGCTGGCCGGAGAGGAGCTGGTTTAGTACCTTTTGCCCCACGAAAAGTACTCGATTCATTACCATTTAACTCCTCCCAGCAACCTTCTACTCCACAAATGAGAACCCCCAATCAAGACCTAGACTTGTCTATATTCAGGAGTTCTCCTTCAGATGGAACAGAACTAAGGCAAGCAAATCAGATCTTTAATACAGCTCTAGCAAGCAGTGGTTCTCCTGCATCGCCAACTCGTCGATATGCCAAGAGAATGACTAGGCTTGTAGAATCTCAAAATGCTGAGATAGCCCTACTTCGGAAACAGCTCTCTGATGCTCAGGAGGTAATTGAGACTCGAAAGAAAAGAACTAAAGGCAAAAGAGTCAAATTACAAGGTCAATTTGTCTTTAGTACTAAGGAAGTATTGAAAATGGTACGTGAGGCGGAGGAAAAACCGAAGGAGAAAAAGCCACGAGGACGGCCACGCAAACGCCCAATTGAAGAATCAGAAGAAGAGATTGAAGAAGAAGAGCTAGAGAATAGTTCAAGTGATTCGGAATTGGAATTGGAGGATTGTGTGGCTCGTAGAACAAGATCGCGTGTAGAATAATTGAAAAAGTGTCCGAGTTCCCCATATGTCCGAGTTCCCCATACGTTACGTTATATTAGATTTAAAATCTTTAAATTTATTGTAGAGTAAGAAAACTTTAAATAATATAATAGTAAGGTATTAGCTTATTGGTGAATAAGATTTGTAAAATGAAACTAAAAAAAGGTTTTAATCGAAAGTCGTATGAATGATTATATTAAGGGAGTAGGTGTGAAAGGTAGTAGGTATTTAGTGAATGAGCTAATAATAGAAAGCTTTGTAGGAGCGATTATGTTACGACGGCATCCAATATACCGCGTCACATGGTCAGGAAGTCACGTGATGGACCTAGAGGATCTAGGGGATCGAAGAATAAACATCTAGATCCATAGGATCCAGAGGATCCAGACAAGACAGAACTGTAGGTTCTGCAGAGCAGGAAGGTCTATATAAGAGAACAGATTTCATTACAATGTAGAGCTTCGTGCTCAAGAACAATCATTAGTTTCATTACTATAGTTACGAGAATTGCAACCAGTTACAACCTTATTGAATTCCTACTTGAAGTCTAGTCTAAACCACCTCGAGAGATCTCTAGACACTTCCACGTGACCCTAGAGGCAGCTCCCGTAACAGATTAAGAGCTTTCAAATTTTATATAATCTTAGTATAATATAACAATTGTATTATTTAGAATATTAAGGTAAAGAGTTAAAAGAGTTTTTAAGAGAAAAGTAGTAATATACAGGATTGTGGATCACATAAGTCCCTAAGCGATCCACTAATATGACAGGATCGTCACAGTAATACTTTTCTGACTAAAACCTTTGAATTTTCAACTTTTCAGATCCTAGTTTAATCATTCTCATATGAAATAAATTGAAGGATTACTTCTTTAAATTATAAAGAATTAATAAAAATATAAAAAAATTATTTCATTTTTTTATAAATTTTTTTTAGTATAATTATAAATATTTAAAATAGAAAATTTTAGAGTGCTAATGTTCTTTAGAAAATTTGCTTATTTTATGTAGGAAAAATATTACAAGTTAGAGTTTTTAACTTTTTTAATTTCAAGCTGATATAAAACTTCAATCAAATTAGTAAAAAATAAAACATAAATTTTTCTATATTCCAACAGATTTCAATTATTGATTCAAAAAGTTTCAATTCAATAAATAAAGAATTGAAATAGTTATTCAGTTATTCAGTATTTTAGTTTATATGGGAAAACAAGAATTTTGCAGGGATTATGTCACAAACCATCACGGTGTGCGGTAAGTAAGTTCGATATCTCTTACTTTGATTTCCTTATCGTATGAGATCTTCCCAATACTGTCATGGCTGTCTCTTTCAGAAAGGATATGTGCGTAGTATCTCCCTAATAATGATGCATTCTGATCCCTAGATTGGGATGTGTCCAATCTTGTACTATAGAGGATTGGTTATATAATATCCCACCCAAGCTCTG